GCACTCATAATTTTTTTTATATATAATATTTGTAAGGGTTTTTAACCAAATTTCACAAGATATCTTTAAAAATATTACTAATTAATTAATTATTTCTACGTAATATTTTGCGATATATTCGATGATATCACTGAGCTTTACGTAGAAAATTATTTCCGTGAGAAAAAACTTTTCTAACGTTATTCGTAGTTACATTTAAAAGTTGTAGTATTTGCTGTATGTTAAGTTGTCTATATGTCACATTACAAATTGTAAATTAGTTGTAAAACCACAAAATACCACCCTAACTACGATTACATGGAAGAAATATCATCTAGTAATAAAAAGATATCAATTTGTTTCAATTAAATCGGAATTACAACTCTGTTATAGCTTTTATTTTAAATTTTCCCGGCGCCTTCACCAAAATTTTTAGTATGATTTTCTTTGATGATAATGTTTGTGAATCTTCATGGGTACAAATTTTCTAATATTTTTTTACATGTGCAATTAACTTCTTATTGACAAAAGAACCCAATGTTTTGGGTCTGTGTTCTTGCAAAATGAATCAAGAATTAACACTAAGATTTTCAAACAGTCCTAATTACAACCCTAGCGAAACCATTTAATAGAAATTATTAATGTTATGCAGTACCAGAACATGAAAACATTTATCAATTACCTGATCTTCTCGAAGTTTTCTCGCATCTCTGGATTTTTTCGCGGCCTTATTATTCCTTTTTCTTTTCTCATAGTACAGAGCGTCTTTTTTTTCTTCGGGGACGGGCTTCTTTTCGTTGCGCTGTTTTTTTAATCGAGCATTCATCATATCTCCGAATGCGTCTAGAAAACAAAAGCATTAATAAAAGATTAATCGTTCATCTGTCTTTTTTTTGTATCGTTAAATACAGTTATTACCGTGTGCATGGTGGTCAAAAGCAGGATAGGGCCTTAAACGGCGTTGAATGTCGTTGATGTAACTTTTTTGAAAATTATCGTAAAACTGAGTTTTGTACAATTCAGGGCACACTTTTAAATTATGGGATTGGGTTGGGCAAATAGCGAGTGGATGGAGTTTATTGTTCAAAGCTGAAAAAGCACAAAATACACATTAGGTAGACCACCAAAATAATTTGAAAGACCTTACCCTTTGAGGTTTCATCTGTTATGTAATACCTTTTAAAAATTCCATTGGAAAAAATGAGCGGGGTGTCATCGCAAAAATGATTATTATGAAAGCTCTGTATGGGTTCCATTCATTAATGGGTTATACGGAAATGAAATCGAAAAAAAGTATTTTGTTTTATTAAGCTTTTAAAACATTTGCATATGGGATCGTACTTTACATTGAATCACTGAAAGTCTAATGATGTTTGTATATTTAAACACTTGATTTTATAACTTTATTACTTATTGGTTGCTATGAAAGCTCATACAACGTTGCCAAGCTCAAAAGCTCAAAGTATTTTACGTAATTTTTATTTTTAATACTGCAACATAAAGAAAATCCACAATTCAAACTTGAAACGTATTAATATTAATGGAATTGCTTTCTGTTTGACTTTTGTGTTATATAAAAAGAGTGAAAGCATACCTGGTTCTGTGTAGGTATAGTTTTTTCGATTTAGTATAAAACTTCGCATTTGGCAACATAATTTTCAAAGCTTTAATTTTAAAAAGAACTGGGATTGGTTGGTATACGCCTACGTAGACACAGAATTAAACCTATTGGACACGGTTTAATGTTAAAATAATGTTTGGTAAGTCTTGCTTGTTTCCCACATAACTCCACCCCATGATAGGGGATGATAACATTTACAAGAGCATTATTTAATTATTCATACAGGTCAACTAGAATATGTATAATCAGAACGCACTGTGACTATGAAATTGTTAAAACAGCGACTTACTTACATGGGATTTCCCCGAATGATAACGTAATGCGAAACGTCTTTTATTTTTCAACATTTGTATTGCATTTATTAAAACGAAATACCTGCCAAGGACATCATTTGATCGTTTTTTGTTTACTAGCTGTTAATACATACTATTTTGATGTTTTTTCATTACCTCAATTGTTTAATTGTTTGATATTTGTTTTCGTTTGTCAGTTTTTTTAATTGATTGTCATTTTTCTTAACAAAATGCGTTCGATTATTATTTCTCCTAATAACAACTATTAATATTTCAAAAGTAGGCAAATAAAACAGAGATTGTTTTTTCATCCCTTTAAGAACGGTTGTCAGTAAATAAGTTAGATATCTGAAATAACAATAATAGCTTATTTTACGGGAACAACAACACATTATCATCATATTCCATGCAAACGTGAAGTGGTGTGGTACGTCGTGGGAAAATATCGAGCTGGGCCATGTGGCCTTTTACGCCTCTACGTAAACTTTGAGTCAACTTACGTATGATTAAACATTTAAAATTCAAGGGGCGCAAAGATCAAACGACTTCTTGACACCTTCGTGACAAAGTAACAAAAGAAAATGCACACAATCGCGAACGTCTCTATCAAATTTCGTTATGTCAAAAATTGATGGTAGCTATTCAACCCTTAATTAAACTGGCTCAAACAAATCTAAAAACTTTTTTTTAGATCCACCAAATTCGTACTTAATAAAAATTATAATTTATTACCCCTACAAGAGTGCGTTAAATAATTATGAAAAAATAAACATAATCTACTAATACTAACTAACAATTAACTTAAACAATCAGACTAATGGGTTGTGCAGTCAAAAGATTTAGTTTTCCTATAGCGATGCTTTATAATGTCGGCAGCTTTTTCGGCTACCATATAAACTGCAGGCATCAAATGACCAGAAATTGAAGACGGTATGACGCTGGCGTCCACTATCCTCAAGTTTTCCGTACCGTGAACTAGCAGTTTATCGTTTACGACTGACGTTTCGTGACTTTGACCCATTTTGCACGTGGCCACGGGATGATAAATGGTCGTACCGTAGTGTTGGATAACGCATTTCCAATAATCAAAACTTCTAAACTCGTAATCTTTACAATAGGTACTCTCTGGAACGACTGTGGTGTTATATTTTTGTAATGGACCGGATTCGTAGACATCCACCAGAAAATCTAGCGTTTCTACAAGAGCATTCATGTCGTCTTCTTCAGTGAGATAATTGGGATCGATCAGGGGGAAGTCCAAAGGATCTGCTGATTGCAGGGTCACCTGAATTATCAAGAGAAATGTAATTAAAAACGAAAGAGATAAGCGAGATTAGGTTTTTACCTGTCCAACTGATTTTGCATGAAGAAGAATTCCTCCAGCTTGAGCAACAGCGTATTTACCCCCTGTGATCCTCACTTCCTTGTTTTCCACGGCATAGACCGCTGACGTTGGAATCACATTGATTTCAGTTACAGGATATCTCTTGTGTTCAATGAATCCGATCGCTTCAATGTTTCCAACGTTGATGGTCAGTCTACCAAAACCTTGCAGATATTGGACCACGTCGCTTCTTATGGTTCTCTTCTCCTCTGTATAGTTCGTGGTGACGTTCATGGCCCTTTGAACGTAAAACTGGTCCAACATGTTCTTTCCAACGGGCAGATTCTTTAGAACGGGAATACTGAATTTGTCCAGTTGTTCTTTCGGCCCAAGGCCCGAAAGCATCATGATCTGTGGAGTTTGGATGGAACCGGCGGCCATGATTACCTCTTTGGTTGCTGTGACGATGTATTTTCTGTTGTTGTGTATGAACTCGACCCCGTTCGTTCTTTTTCCGCGTTGGTCCATCAAAATATGCGTGACGTAACATTCCGTTTTTACCTGCGAGAATTTCGAATTAACTTTAGCTGTGTCCATCATTAAATGTTATCTTTACAGACCTTCAGGTTCTTCCTGTCTTCGTTGGGGAACAGGTACGCCGCTGCGCTCGTCAATCTTCTGCCGTTTCTCTGAGTGAATTGATTGTAATTAATACCAAAAAGATTTTTGGCATTGTAGTCTGTGATCGGGTAGCCGAATAAACCCATCGCTTCCATGAAGGTTTTAGTGATATTGGATGGGGTTTTGTAGTTTTCGAGGGTGACTGGTCCTGAAAATCCGTGGTATTCCGCGTCGATACCAACAAGAGAGGACGCGTTTTCGTATTTTTTGAAGTAGGGGAGAACGTCGTCGAAGGACCATCCCTTGTTGCCCATTGCGGCCCATTTGTCGTAGTCTCGCCAGTTTCCACGGATATTTGCCAGACCGTTTATGCCAGTGGAACCACCATAGATTTTACCTCGTGGGTAGTCACAGCGGAATCCTGGTTGATCTAGAGAAAATACCAAGAATGTCTAATAGCATGCCATAAGGATTTTATCGCGTTCTTTTATTACCTCTGCAAGCAACTTTCTGGGGAACCGTCCTGAATCCCCAATTGTACTCGGAATTCTTGAGAAACCCGTCCATAGCAGGGATATCGACGTAATCGTTTTCTCTTTTGCCGGCTTCTAGAACCAGGACGGACACATCCGGTCTCTCTGTCAGTCTACCAGCGATCACACTGCCCGCCAATCCTCCACCAACAACCACGAAATCGTAACTCCCGATGGCTGTAACATTTTAAACAATTTCCTCAAAATTGTAACCCTACATGAAGGAAATAAAAAAAATCCCTACCAACGGGTGCTTCATCGGTATTTCTGACGTTGAACTCGGAACAAAATTCTGGTCTTTGATATGTACTTGTTTGTACAGTGTTTTGAATGATGAGATTTTCGTAATAATCGACTTCATCCCCCTGCGGATAGACAGGATGGGCGAAGAATAGAGCGAGGATAACTATTTCAAAAATCGCCTTCATTGTCCAGTACAAACCCAGCCAGTCACCAGAACTTATTAACGTTTTTACCAATTAGTTACCATTAAATAATAACGGAATGTGACAAAACATCACACTATTACAGGTGAAAGTTGCTCGGACTAATTAGAGTCCTAATGTTATCTACTTAAATACTATCCCAATCGAATAACGTCATACTTCGCCTTGTAAATTTTTTAAAAATACTTATCATAACACGATATATAGTCGAAATTGTTGTTTGCGTTGTTTCTACTTCAAAATACCATTGAAGGAACGTTGAAGGTTTCATTTATGGTACCTAGAAAGCTACAGTTAGTCGAGTATCTGATCTGAGCTGGAGTTACCCAAAAATGTCCCCACCTTAATTAAAAACATACTAATTCGAGAAACTCGAACAATTACTGTATTTCCTTGAGATAATGTTTAAACAAACATTGTTGCATCTAACAATTAGATGATTTCAAATGTTACTAAATAAATAGGGTTGAGGGTGAGCATTCGTGATGAAACAATAAATAAATAATATACAAATTTGTCTTCTCATAATCAAAAAACTATGTCAATTATAATAAACCATGTCAAGTTCGTTTCGACCTTATAGATATCTACTATTACATATATATTATAAATTGGCGGTCACTTTGAAGTGACTAAATTAATAAAGATGAAAATAATATCGGAAGTATACGAGGAATGAAACACGTAGTCCATTATCAAAATGAGTTGAGATAACAATAAGTAATAAATAAAAACAAAAAATTAAAAAATGTAAACTGCATTCATACATGACAGTTTGAAATAGTTTAGATTTTTAGCAAACAAACAAGTAATTGTTATGAGTCGAAGTCAGCTATAATATTAGGATCGAAATGAACCCCTTCCAAATAATTTATTACGTGATATCGCCCTTAACCAGCGAGCACACGAATATTGTATAAATGATCAACGGTTAATGATGTTACACTGTTTTTTTTTTCTTAATGTACATGCACACGTAGCCATATAAATATATAGAGAAGGGTGCTTAAACATCTGCATGATTCTCATCATTTGCCAGGTAAGCATGAAATAATGTTTCAAATAACGTCGTAATTATTTATGGTTACCACCATTTATTGTTGTATGGCAACCGAACAACATTAACCAGAATTTGATATCATCGCATTTACAGTTTGTCAAAAATAGTTTCGATTTTAAGCCTCGAAGTTTCATAAAATCTTGAAGAATAATAAAAAGCAATTACTAATAGAAATCATTTTTAAAATAAAATCGCAAAATCTCTCGATACTCAGGGTGGGCCAGCACATGGACGAGAACTTTCAAGGTATGGGACTTATTGGGGGTCGTGTTGGTTAGTATAACTTTACTTTTTGTTTGGTATTATTGGTTTCGATTAATATTTAATTCATACAGGGGCAGGGGAGGGTCGTGAATGTGGGGGTTCTGGGCTAATACTACTTTGGGCTTAATTAATTAATCAAACCAATTTAATGTTAGGAAAAACATTAAGGCAATTGCTTGTAGTTCTGTTATATAAATTTATATAAAGCATTTACATTATTTTTTAAATTCACAATATTGTCTTCAATGGGAGCCAGGGGCTTTTATATCCACGTGGCAGGGGCGGCCTTAGCCATTGGAAAGTTCCGGGCGGGTAAATTTTTGCGAGGCCCTCGTTTTTGTGGAATTAATTTTAATGATGATACTTAAAAAATTANGTCTTTATATATATGTATATCTATAACTTTATTTACACTGAAAACAATTTTATTTGTAACAAAATTGTTAATTTGTACATTGTTTAAAAAAAGGCGCACTCCAATTTGTAATACGCGAAATATTATTAGTTTAATTGAGAGGTTCGAACTAACTATAAGTTATCACAGTTTTGATAGCTTCGTCTGTAGTTTGATATTCTATTGTCGACATCACCGAAGATTCCCTCTTCCTCCTAAAAAACCTATGAATAGTAAAATGGGTTACTCCACAAACAAAAGCAAGTGCGCTAAATATCTTCATAGCCGTTTTGCCACCGACCATTTGGTATAAGATCCCAACGGTAACACAACCAATAGCGTACCCTAAAAGGTTGACAATACTGAAAAGTTGCAATAAATTAAGCAAATATGTATACCAAAGCCATCGTCTAAACCTGCTGCGATTCCTTGCATCGTGGCTGACATACCAGGCGGAGATATGGCATTGGCATAAGCCACGATTGTGGTATATGTCAGGGCGTATGTTGGCCCCTGCATCACAAGCTCGACGGGAAGAATCCACCACGGATTTGGCGCCAATGAGATCAACAATAACCGGATAGAGTAATTTACAAAGCATATGCTAAAACAATTTGCATAGCCTATTTTTGATAATATTTTCCCTAATAATAATAAAAAAATTGTGAAAAAAATATTATATTCCTACTCAATTATTTACCAGATATTGCGAAGAATAAAATTTCACCCCCCAATGTTTCGGCCGCCACAATAAGTCCTTCCAATAGCTTGACATTTCCAGTCTGACTTTGGATGGCCAAGTCTTCGAGGAACCAAAACAGGAAATATATTATGAAACTATCGATAATTCCAGCAAAGATTGCGAATATCAGGAATACCACAACGTCCCTGTCCCTTAGCAGTCGACACAGATCTTTGAAAACGTTTTTGGGAGGAGATATCACCGGCAACTACAAAGAGTTTATTTATTTCTAGAAAGGGCTAATATTTAGATACCTTACCTTCAATTTTGAACAAGCAAATAAATCAATGAGTGTAAAACTAACCATAATAATAAATGCTGGGGTGTAAGTCTCAAAACTTCCAATAGACCACCAATCTACGAGGTACCCCCCCAAAAGAGCCGTCAATCCGAAACCAATAGCACCCCATACCCTCTGTTTACCATAGTCGTATGTGTCCCCTTTAAAAGTATATAAAAACTTTAGTTGATGGTGTGTAATTGCAATAATTATTACTTATTAATGTACCAATTACATCAAAACAAACGGCGTCGCTTATGGAATTGGCAACGTTATAGCAAATATTGCCAAGGGACATCAGCAAAATGAAACCCCAGAAGGTTGATGAATTGTAGAAACAAGGTGCATCGATTTCGCTATTCTGTTGGCATCGCAATTTGCAGTCTTTTGAGCAATCTATGTCGATAAAAGTTTCTTTGCATATTGTAAAATCATCTTCTTCGTCCTTCAAGTATGCTAACCCTTTAAAGGATCTGTTACTCATTGAATTATCGGGACATGTTAAAACACATGTCACATTTTTGATGGAATTTTTGCAGGAAATGTTCTAGAATTCATTCGAAAATGTAAATTACATATTTTGTTATCGTTGCAAAATTCTTACCGAATCGTCACAAACACGTAAATATTCCCTACAAGTTATATTGTCAATTTTAAAATCTAAAATGCCAAATTTATTTGGTAACGCATATAAAAAAGCGAAAGATGTACTCATGGCGGCGATTAAAACCATAAAAATGGATTTCCGGTGGCTTCTAAAAACATCCACGATTATCCCAAATACTGGTTTGGCTAAGAGAAACAGAATGGGCAAAATTCCCGATACTGTTCCCATTACAACCGAAGAGATGCCCAATTCTTTGCCATAAACCGGTAACTGGGGAAGAATGGGGCCCATTGCTTCAATATTTTTTAATGTCAATTAAACGATAGACAGGCATGAAATATTAGAAACTTACCGGCCATGAAGAAGAAAAAGTGCGCCTTGATTGGCAACAATTCTTTGTTGAGTTTCATACTTTTTATTTGATAAAGAGAAACATTAAATGATTTGAATATTTACTGGTAAAATATCTGGCTAAAATCACATGATTATTTGAAGAAAAGGAGATAATAAAATATTCCCAATGCCAAGTTCATACTGTGAGGAGTTCGTTAAACTTTGTGGCATACTTATCTTTTCGTTCGCTTGCAAACAATGAAAACTGTACTTACGAAAGATAAGTGAAATAAGTAAAAAAGCGTAGATACTAACGACAACTTCGCAATTATTTCTAAAACAAGAAAATGCTATGGTTCCATTTGAATAATTTTATAGTTTGTTCGCTACACAAGTATTACAGAAGGCCTGGCTCGCATAAATTAATATGTTCAGCATAATCAAAAGCTATTTTTAAACAAGTTTATTGCAACACTAACATCTACGCTGAACTTTCTATCGCCGTTGTAAATGACAGACTAAAAACTTGAAAACTGCATTTTCTACAGTTACGTTTTAATCTTCCGCCCAACAACAGTCCACAGTTTACTGATAAGAAGTTACAATATTTAGCAGATTATTGTTTAAAGATAGCTCCAGTTTTATTCACGGTTAAAACGCCAGTAGCGGTGCAAGCAATAGTAAAAGATAATTGTATATTTAAACAACAAATTAATACAGTTGCGATTCAAATATATGTTTGTAAGTTTGTAGTAGAGCCTTGCAATGGGCGGCTGTTCTGAAATCTAGACCGAGCTTGTAGTGTTTTGCTGTAGCCAATACTTCCTAAAGAAATTAATTTCGATAAACCAATAAAATGCACGACTATATTATTTCTAATCAATTACTTTTACTGCTTGATTAAGGGAACCTTCGATTATGCCTTTTATTAGCTCAGTTTCTGATAAAGTTTCCGGAAAGATATCGTTGGGATATTGAACAATATTCCCAGAAAAATTAACGATCAGCTTAGCTTCTTCTCGAGGACATACCATAACGTAGTAATCTTTTATTGAATCTGAAAATCTGAAATGGAACAATGAACCATGAACCATCACCATCAGATAAATGGTACAGAGTTTTGCTGTATAATATCCCACACATCCCATGATTAGTATTGATTCCCATTATTGCCTTTTAAGCGGGATTTATATTACTGAAATACCTTTGAGTAATTTCTCCCTTTTCGACATAATCCACATTTTTGAGATGTTCCATGTACGATAATACTGCAAACCCACCATTGGTGACTATGTCTGGAATGATAAGCTTATTGGTTCCGATCAAAATCTTATGGGAGGTTGGTGTGATAGCCCCATATGCAGCCTCAACTATAACTTTTGCCTGAAGTTTATCGGCTATGTTGTACACGAGGCCGTTTTGTTTTCCCGCCAACACAAGTAAATCGCACTCTTCATTCAAAATAGAATCGGAATGGTACGGTTTTGTTTTGAAATGAAAATCTTTTAGAGTGCCGAACTTCTGCTTGTGCGAGTAAGCGGACTGTAAAATAAAAAAGAAACGTTAAAAACACTTTTATAAATCATTGTTACTGTTGCTAATACATCAATATCCAAACCGTCGTAGTAATATGTGAAACAATCGTTGTCATCGATGCCCACACAGATTGCTCCCTCTTCTTGTAATTTTGAACCAATAAGGTATCCGTACTTCCCCAAACCCTGAAAATATAGTAAGTACATTGCTAAATGAATATTTCAGCTCGAAGTTCAGAACAAATGCGGCTCAATAAGAATAAGACAAATGTCATCGTGTGTTCGATATTTTACATAACCAAAAATATTGCGAGTAATCAAGAGTAGTTTTTGAAGATGTTTAAGGGTGATTCAGGGGGAAAGGAAGCCATTCAGGCGGTGATAGTTGGGGACCATTTCGGGAACGAATTCAGGCCAGTAACAGATTCCCTGCCTTTCGCTCTTCTGCCTCTGGCAAACATTCCCCTTTTGGAATACACTTTGGAATTTCTTTCTTTGGGGGGTGTTGACGAGACGTATCTCATTTGTTGCAATGGGGGTAGAATAATAGAAGATTATGTGGAACGACGCGTTAAAAACTGCGCCCCATGGTCTAGATCAATGAAGGTCGTAATAATTATGTCAGAAACGTGCAGATCTTTTGGAGATTGTTTGAGAGATTTAGACTCGAGGGGGTTGGTCAGGGGGAACTTTATATTAGTAGAGGCCGGCACGATTGGGTCCATTGATTTAAAAAATTATCTTCAAAAACATGTCAACAATTGCAAAAACGATAAAAACGCTGTTGCCACGGTACTGTTTGAAAATTGCGGAGCGGGAAATCCCTCCGCGTTGTCTAAAAACGAAATTACCCTTGGCGCCAGCGCGAAAAATAGAATATTATTTTATCAGAACAAGAGATCAAGCAAAATTGAAATCCCACTGGATATAATAAGCGGGAACAAGACGGTGGACATTTTCCACAATATCAAAGACGTCCACGTCATGATATGCACCTCATCCGTTCTTCCCTTATTCTCCGACAATTTCGACTTTCAAACACGCGACGACTTCATCCGCGGTCTCCTAATGAACGAGGAGATCATGGGTTCGACCATTTACACGGAATTCATAAAAAACAACGAATTCGGGGTGGGAATTACAGACTGGCGGTCTTATCATGCCACAAGCATTGACGTGATGCATAGATGGGCTTATCCAATGACTCCAGACGCAGCCAGCGCCGGCCTTTACAGATACATCAAAAATAATATCTACCGGTCTCAAGACGTGCAAATAGGAAAGAATGTTTCTTTAGTAGAAGACGTTGTAATCGGTCCAAAGTCCGTCGTAAACAGCGACACGAAAATTACGAAATCGGTAATTGGTCCAAACGTTTATATTGGAAAGAATGTCAAAATAGCGAACTCGTTCATTTTCAACGATGTAAAGATCGAGGACAATGTCGAAATAACCCATTCCGTGATTGGAAGGAATAGCATCGTCCATTCTAAATCGCGAATAACAATGGGGACCATCTTGGGCATTGGAGTCATCATACCAACCGGTACGAAACTGGAAGACGCTCTGGTTCAATCCCACGATCCGCTTAATAAAGACCCGAATGCAAAAATTGGCCCAGTGGCTTACAAAGTTAGATTCGACACTGATGAAACTGCAGAATCGGGAAAGGAGAGTTACTCAAAGGCCACAAGCAGGTTGCACCTCCATTTCCCCGACGAAGACGAGTCCAGTGAAGGCGATTCCACCGAACAAAGTGAAGACCTTTCGTACAGGAACTCTCCACTTCCTGACGACACCAACATGTTCTTAACGGAAGTAATGGATAGTCTTTCGAGAGGCTATGAAGATAAACTTCAATGTGATAATCTCATTTTGGAGATAAACTCATCCAGATATGCGTACAATGTGTCACTGAAGGAAGTTAACTTAAACGTCGTGAAGGCCATTTTAGAATTGGCCTTCCAAAATCTCCCTTGCAAACAATCCACGGGGCTGCAGTACTGGAGCACTTTACAACCCCTCCTGAAATATTTTAAACCCATTTTGAACAACTACGTCCGCAATAGAGATGCCGTCGAAGACGCTCTTCAAGCAGTCGAAGATGTTGCCAGTTCCAATAGTGAAATTGCCGACTGCGTGGTCAAAGTTTTGGAATGGTTTTATGACAACGATTTGATGGCAGAAGAAAATATTTTGAAGTGGAATTCCGGTTTGGACAAGAAAGGTAAATTGTACAAGAAGGTCCAGCCTTTCATAAGTTGGTTGGAAGAAGCCGAAGAAGATTCCGATTCCGACGAAGAAGATTAATATTGTATTGTTATTGTAAAAGTGTTTATGTTGTAATAGAAAATAAAATCTTTTTTTATAACAAACAACTGGTTTTCGATTGTTTTTTTTTTTTGAGTTAGTGCTTCTGTGTTGATGTTTTAATTAAGGGGTATTTGAAATTGAATTTAAAAACCTGTAATATAAACGATTTGTTCTTCAGGCCTGTTTCCAGTTCGATTGTTTTCATTATTTTTTCGTCATTTAAAAATAATTCTAGGGTGTAAGCTATAGTATCTTTCAAAATTTCGTTATAATTCCCAACTGAATTAACAAATGAGTCAGGTTTGCCAATAACAAAGGAACTCGGGATGCAATTTGTGTCTGAAAAGCATTAAAAAATTGGCTATTTGCTTAAGAAAACACTCCGAGACTGACATTACGAGCGCATAGGCGTAACATTTTTTTTTGTTTTGACAAACAATCGAAAATAAAACTAGACTGAGATTGACCTGTATTAGGGGTGTTTGCTATCCATTCCATTTCTTCACACGAAGTGCCGATATCCGGTTCAAAAATGTCAATTGCATTACCTAAAAGTTAGATTGATTTTGAGACTAGTTTTGTAGTTCCGAAAGATTAACGAATTTGTACCACAGAAGTTTCGTTTGTATAATTCTGACGTGTATTTTTGTAAGATTTCCTTTGTGTCATCTCTTTTAAATTCGTTTGGGTCTATTAAGATGGACCCATGAGAACCAAGCAATGGGATTCGCATGCAAGCGTTCCTCTGGGATGTTAATATTGCTAGACCCCTTAACTCATGTTTTTGTTCATTTCGCAACAGTCTCAAACCTTAGATAGGTAAGAAACACATCAACAAATACAAAATTTGATAAATAATATGGTACCTCCGATACATGGTGTCTGATTTGAAAGCAATGACGAATTTTGAACTCTGTAACCTTTGACCACCCTCTTTCTACCATCCTGCAATTTTACTCTACAATTAATTTCCAAAACACTGCTACAAACATCGCCAGCGTCTATTAAATCTTTAACAGTTTGTCTCGCTTCTTCCACCGGTAATGATGGATTTTTTCTTCGAACTTCGTTGACCAAATCGCTATAAACATGTTCGATAGCTGTGTGTTTGTACCATCTTACGGAGTCGACCAAAAAAGCGTTAGCACAATAAAAAGCATCCCTTAATTTTTCTGGAAAGTCGTAAGGATGATTCCGGGAATAAAATCTGCGATGACACGGTCTAACAAAAAAATCGAGTATAAATTTCATTTTGACAACTTCAAATACAAGTAATAAAAAAATTGTTAATCAGATTTATCGTTAGTTGTTATAGAAACTCAAAAATCAATTATGACAATTTCAATAAAAATAAACTACGTTTGAGTTTAATTTCATAATAATTTTAAGTAATGTTTGTTTATTTAACTAACCATTGGAGAATTTTACTTACCATGCGTTAATTATATTACAATAACTATTTTAAAAGCGGCAAAACATACGTCTCTAACAAATTATTTCATTTTTATGTCTTTCTTGGGAAAATATTATTTACTACGCCCCTGTTATTTGCGTCGTTTTTTTTATAAAGGAGAAGAAAAAGTAAAATGCAGGTGTTCTCTGTCGAATGGCCAGTTGCGAGTTGGATTTCGTCGGGATCGCCAGGGGAATCCTACAATCGGTCTTCAACGTTTTTCTTTTTTTCTGTTCATTTTTAATAATTCGTACAAGTTGGCGTAACAATAAAACATAAGAGGTCAGTAACAAACGGTATTAGTTGTCAATTTTAATAAATATTGAGTAGAATTGCATGAAATATTGTGCAAAATAGTGGTAAAAGAAGCATGTGCATTTTCTTCGAAAAATTGTGAATTTATGTATGTATTTTTTGCTCTGTAACGTAACTGAATGAAAGGTTTTATTGATTTTATTGCAATATGAACAAATACTTTTTTTACATTTAAATCGTAGGTAGATATGCAATTATCATGTAAATTTAAAATTACGACAGGCCAAGCTGTAAAGTACAAATACTGATTTTTAATGTCATGATTATTTAGAATGTAAGTCCAGCTTCGGAATATGTGGTGAATATTTTTTCTATAGAATTAATGTAGGCTGCTGTCCTCAAGTCCAGGCCCAGGTTGAACTTATTAGCAGTTTTGATGATTGCCTGTAAAACAAATTATTATAAGGTATTCATATTTTTTACATGCTTTTTGCAGTAATGTAGTTAGATAAAGCAGTTTTGTGCTATTTGTTATAAGACGCGTGTTCTTTCAATATGGCGACGCTTCTGTTTTGAGACGCCATTAACAACCACGTGTTTGAATAAATTCCGTTAGAATTGCACAAAGTACGTTAAAAAATTGTAAAATTTACCTTCGACGATCGTTCCATGGTGTATTCCAAACCAGAATGTACAATATCTTTTTCTGAAGCACCAGAAATCCGTTTTTGGAATGAATCGGATGGAGTTATTGGTATAGGTCCTCCGGTTTGACCAAGTCTCCTCTCTAACGATTCTTGTACTGATTCTGTTAAAAAAATTAAACAATTTGCAATGTTTCAGACCTAGTACAGGATTAATTTCGTACTTAGCAAATGATAATTGGAGTCGCGTTCGTATTTGAATGTCAGTCTTCCGTATGATACGTGATTAAGATTTTTCAACCACTCGAAAAATGATACTGTCACACCACCAGCGTTGCAATACAGATCGGGGATCACCAGGACCTTTTTGTCGATTAAGATTTTGTCGGCGGCTGGGGTTGTAGGCCCGTTAGCACCCTCGGCTATTACCTACAAACAACGCGTTGATTTTTGTTTGACTTTAGGGGTTGTTTTTACTTACTTTAGCCTTTATTTTATCCGCATTTGTCATCGTTATGACCTTTTCTGTAGCAGCGGGAACTAAGATATCACAGTTTTCATACATCAAATCGAAACCACCCTCGTACTTTTGCGCCCCAGGGAATCCCTGTACTGTCCTGTGTTTCAGTAAATAATCCTCAAGGTCCTACGATAAATTTCCAAAATGTTTGTAGATATTAATTTAGCACAATTGTTGTAACATTTATTACCTTTGGATCAATGCCGTTAGGGTTGTAAAGTGACCCGTCTCGTTCTATCACCCCAATACATGTAGCTCCGGCTCTCACGAGGTACCTGGTGGTGTGCAAGCCGACATTACCAAAACCTTGTACTATGAATGTTTTCCCCTTGATTCCAGGGGATAAACCGATGACGTCCATGAAACTGGTGTCGTTCATGAAGTTGTCTATCCCGTGGAAGATCCCTCGACCTGTTGCTGATACTCTACCGTGTATGCCACCCTTAATGTGTAAGTGATTGAGTAGTTAGACGTTAGCATGATCGGAAAATATTGATTGTAATAACGATTATTCGTACCTGATTGATGGGTTTCCCGGTGATACACGCGTGCGAATTTATGTCGTTGTACCCTATTGTTTTCGCATAAGTGTCTGCCACCCAGGACATTTCACGTTCACCTGTGCCCATGTCGGGAGCAGGCACATCGATCCCTGGACCTGTCAAAAATAAAACAAAACCATTTACGAAAAAAAAAGTTAAACTTTAAAAAGCAAATTGGAAATTGTAGATGAAAACATCCAATAAATTACAACAGAAAACAATTAGCAGAAAATAAAGTAAACTTGATAAGAATAAAACGAACAAAATATTTATTACATAATAGACAAGACAAAGGAGAAATAATTGATGTGCAATCAGTGTGAAGTCCTATATTTAGCTACTATTTCATGACGAAAAAGCAGAAAGCTGCGCATGAAAAATATTTTTGTCACTAAACGAGAGATAAAACGAAATAAAGTTTTGTCCCGGAAAAAAAAAGGAAAAGCATTCAGCTGTTTTCTACTGTTGATAAAAGATGATGCTAATAAAGATAGAATTACATCATATACAATGAAGTAATGGGTAACATTGTGATAACTTTTAATTACGAAGGGAAATAGATAATTAAAACAGTGTAAACAGAGAGATAATAGCAACAAATAGAATAGAACAACCATCTGGATTAATTCGACACGTATCTTGTTAATATTTACATAAAATGGGAAGGAAAGAGAAATTTACAAACATAAAATCATATTCATCGTGATCAATTTGACCATAGTCTAAAAATATATTTAAGACATTGTTTTGTTAATTACTAATATTGGTCAATGTTAATATTGGTTAATATTAATTTGTCAGAGCATTCGTGCGTAAAGCCAAGAGGACGCGGGTTCGATTCCCGGCGGGGCGGGGGGTGAAAACAGCAACAAAAATATTTTCCTCACTAATTGAGGAGGAGTTTGAGTAGTTCAAAATCGAAAAGTGATTTCAAGTTGATGTTGCATAAAAATATATTGATGGTGATATTTTTTGTACAGACATTTAGAAGCTAACATACCAATGAAACCTTTCTTTGCTAATTCGAGGGTGAATCTTCTGGTAATTTTTTCTAATTCTCGTTCTGAATATTGTTTCGGATCTATTCTTACACCTGCTTTACCACCGCCAAATGGTACATCCACACACGCACATTTAAAGGTCATCAAAGCTGATAAGGCTTTTACTTCATCCCTGTTTACGTCCATGGAATAACGAATACCTGAAATGATAAACAAATTGAATAGGTTCGTTATTTATCCTAAAAGTTTATTAACAAATGCCAAAACTCTAACGGAAGCTGATTTTTTAATGGTAACTTTTGATGACATTTTTGAACTCTACTTTTATTAATGGAAATACATTAACATCTTCCAATTCCTGCATATATTAAGTTTAATATGGTCTTGTACACTATTTAACGTTCCATTGACGTCATTTACGTTTAAATTTTATTGTCTGGCGACACGTTATTTATTAAGTCTCGTGATGGCCACCCTGCATATACGATGACTATAAGCTGACGGCTTTGTATCTTATTAACGCGCTTAATTGATATAACAGCCAAAATTTAAACATTTACTGACGCTTATCACGACTGCTTTATGAACTTATATTTTTGTGTTTGCAACATTTTTGAATTCAATTCACAATTTACAATAGGCTCTAAATAGTTCTGGGATTTTATTTAATTTATATTAAGGATGAATTTTGGACAAGTATTTTTATGATTGGATACTTCAGATGTTTGAATTTCTGTTTTTGGCCTTTCTGGTTCTCAAGATTTGGCTTCTTTATTCTTCAATTAATTAGATACAATTTTTTTCTTCTTCAAGAATCATAGTTACGAAGCTTTTTAAATGTAATACGTAGTTATTCTTGTTTATGCATTAAAAATGAATTTCTTAGTGCCCAGGTGCACCAAGTACATGCATACAATAATTGTTGTAATAGCGTATATTTGTATGCAAAAAGTATGGCATCTGTCCAACGTTTTCATACAAGGCCTTATTCTAAAAACGACTACTATTGATGCAGATTTAAAATACGTATAAACGTATGAGGTCAACTTGTCCACTACCAAAGGCTTCCTTATTTACAATTAATTACGTAACACTGTAGATTAATTTTTCTAATAAGTGCATACATACAAATGTATAGATCTACCTGACTATTGTAAATCACTGAAAAAAAAAGCTTATTTCTTAGGTGTTTCGCTTCGTATTTTGTATTGTAGTGGACTAGTCTGCCTCATCGCCTACAATATCTTAGTGTATTTAAATTGTTTATTCGCTGATAAGATGGAATACCATTTAAATTTTATGATAGTTATCGTTAGCAACAACATGGGTGGTTGCAATTTGTTACACATCTGCTAATAATTTATATAATTGCTTATAAGTTATGAAATAGCTAATAGCCAATTGAAAATAATCAATTAATGACCTGTTGAACATAATAATTTATTATTTTTAAGTGTCACGATAAGACCCGGTATCTTTGATATGTGCAGAAGAAGAAGTTACGAAATCTGTACTCTCTTCAACATCCAGGTGTGAAAATCGCATACCAATAATCACAAATGCAATCAGAAATCAATTATCCTTGAACTTATCTAGGTTTTTTGTTACTACGCGATTAATTACCGTGCACACACCGCTACTTAAAAATCAGAAAAAAATGCGTGCACATAAAAAAAACTGAGCCCTTAACGACAAGGCATTTTTTTGTTACAACTCAACCATTATATTGTTCCATGTAGCTTGCATAAATTATGCGATAAAATAAGTTTTTACGACTTGGTAACCGTGGTTTTTACTATAATACGTTGTACTTAATTTTTCATGAGTACTCTACAGAATACAATTATAAATGGACTTGGGTTGATTATTCATCAGCTATCGCTTTAGAATCTTTATTTTAATTTATCTTGACGAGGAACCGAATCGACTGAAATATGTTGTTGAGATGCGTCTTCTGCATGTAGTGTTTCAAAAGTATTTGGAAAAGCTACCGTATCAGTTACTATGTATCGCTGCAAATGAAATAAATAAACATTAAAGAATTTCACTAATATCAAAATAGTACGCTTGTAATTTGCAATTTGATATACGTAATACATTCATAATAATACATGGGAATGCAAGGTGGATTGAATTCTAATGCAGTATTTATAATTACTGCATCTTCCAAAATTGTTGGATTGTTGGATTGCGAGTGTGTATTTTTAGAAACAACCAACGCAAAAGATAATCCGCATACAGAATACAATCGACTTGACACGGATCTTTCTATAAGATCTCTTTCTATGCGTCACCGTTGTGAAAATTAATAATAAATGCATGTGGTGTTTGCGAGACAAAGCGACAAAGCCGTTTAGTTTGTGCCAAGAGCTTATAGCTTATCCGAGTTATATAATTTTTGCGCAAACATAATCTTTTTTGCATCTATGTAACACCTTCTAGTCCTTTCTACTGCTTCCTTATTGGTTTGTAACGTTATTTATTAATAGTATCCTTTCAAAAAAATATTACCCCCTTTACAAGGCGTCCGATGGGTGCTGTGCTGCGCCCTGAATCCCTTGATGATCTCGTACTCGCCGTTGTCCCGTTTGATGGGGAAGACGATTTCGATAACGTGATTGCATTCTTCCATGACCGTAAGAATACCTTTCACCTTCGCTTTGCGTTGTTCGAGACTTAGCCTGGAGCCCTTTTGTTGGGCTAGGTCTTCTACGAGCTTGTCTTCGACGATCATGCACGCCCTGTGAAAGAAGTATTCTACCATGTCGAAGAAACGAGGATTTGGGTTTTCGGGCATGTCTTTAAGTTTGTCTGGAATTCTATGGTCAGCATAATTTCTTGTCTGGATCGCGGCCGGTGAAATTTTGGCAAGCGTCGTGGTTAGGTCGGCCTTGCTCTTTGCTAGCAGCACATTCCGTGGTATCAACTTCAGATGGAACATTTTGAGTTCTTGTTTTTTTATTTGTTTGACGAAAACAATGCAGTGTTTGTTACTGAAACGCACTAAGCACTCACTTTCTATTATCCCGATCCCATTCAAATGGTGAACATTTTTCCACGCTGCGAACGTACTACTGTACTAAACACTCAGGCTTGTGCCTGGCTGGTGTTTTGAACACAGGCGCTTTAATTGTTATAAAATTATCGTCATTTTCGACACGATTTCTAAACGACAATTAACGATCGCAGACGGCTTGTGCACGACAGAGCGCATGTTTCGATCGTGTTTTGTTTGTAAGGAGTCACCGGATTTGTAAGCGCGAAGGGGCTTCACAGGGTGAAGGCGAGCCATAAAGCGGATTTTATGTAATGCTTCGTTTATTAAACACAAAAATTTGTTTTTTTTTTATTTTTAAAACTTTTTATTTTATTTTCGTTAACGTTTCGAGGATCTACAAGAAAAAATCAATACATTTTCTTATGCAATCAAGAGAACATGCACACACATGTATAATAATCTTATTTCAATTTCGTAATTTCTAGAAACAGAAAATTATTGACGGAAAAATCAGACATAACAAGCAATATTATTACTGTAAAATAAAAATATTTATTATATCAACATATTGATATAGCCGAGCTCCCATAGAAACAATCCGTTTCATAACACGTGTGCTGTATTGTAAGGTTAGCTGCTTGGTTGTCATTAACAATGATTTTGCTGATGTTATAAAAAAACATATTTTAAAAGGTATTGAGTTCCTGACAATGTCGGCAAACCTTTGCGAAAAGATTTTGCAACATTTGTCCGATTACGATGCGGTCAATACGATTGCCTTGGCAAAAATATTACAAGAAGACCATCAAAAGGTGATAGGGGCAGTAAAAAGTATCCAGGCAACTGGAGACTTGGTTACCGCTGATCCTCAAAGTACCAAACATTTAGAATTAACGTCGGAAGGGAAAGAAATTGCTGAGAAAGGTAGGAATGTAAGAAAATTAGTTCCTCTTTGATTCTTGGGGTGGCATTGTTTTGTAGGGAGTCATGAGGCAGCAATTTTTAACGCGGTTCCGGAAGAAGGCATTTCTCAAAGCGATTTAATGAAACTGCCCAATTCTAAAGTAGGTTTCAGTAAGGCAATGTCTGCAGGATGGATTTCCTTGGACAAGACTGGAACCACTCCAGTAGTAAGAAGAAAAACGTCCCAAATACATGATGCAGTGCAGCAACATCTGAAAGACATTGCATCAGGCAATCACTCAGGCTTAACTGATAATCTGAAGCAGGAATATAAAAAGAGGAAGCTCCTACAGGAAGTAATAGTGAAAAGTTTTGACTTAAAGAAAGGACCTGAATTCAATTTGTCTCTGACAAAATTAGAGACAGACTTGACATCAGACATGCTGGCATCAGGAAGCTGGAAGACGTTGAAGTTCAAAGATTACAACTTGGATGCTCTTGGGGCTCCTCTGGAGTGTGGAGCCCTTCATCCACTCTTGAAGGTCAGGTCAGAATTCAGACAGATATTTCTCGAAATGGGCTTCACAGAAATGCCCACAAACAACTTTGTTGAGAGTTCATTTTGGAACTTTGACTCCCTCTTCCAACCCCAGCAGCACCCCGCGAGGGACGCTCACGACACGTTTTTCATATCCGATCCAAAGACGTCGTCAAATTTTCCCAAAGACTATTTAGAAAAAGTAAAAAAGGTCCACAGCAAAGGGGGATATGGATCCCAGGGGTAAGGAGCTTCTTACCGTTGTTGTGGTGGAGGTTTTCTCAAATATGTTTTTTGGGGTTTTAGGTATCGATACGATTGGAAAATAGAAGAGGCCGAAAAGAATCTTCTCAGAACCCACACGACAGCAGTCAGCGCGAGGATGTTGTATAAATTAGCTAGAGAAAAAGAATTTAGACCTGTGAAATTTTTCAGTATTGATAGGGTATTTAGGAACGAAACTCTTGATGCCACCCATTTGGCAGAGTTTCATCAGGTGGAGGGGGTGGTCGCAGATTACAATCTCAATCTCGGAAACCTGATAGGGGTGTTGAGCGAGTTCTTCAAAAAATTAGGGATCACCGATTTGGAATTCAAACCGGCCTACAACCCCTACACTGAGCCGAGTATGGAAATATTTTGTTTCCATAAAGGGCTGAACAAGTGGATCGAAATCGGTAATTCGGGATTGTTCCGGCCGGAAATGTTACTTCCCATGGGACTTCCGGATAATGTAAATGTCATCGCGTGGGGATTGTCTCTGGAAAGGCCTACAATGATTAAGTATGGGTACAACAACATAAGGGATTTGGTGGGACCGAGGGTCGATTTACAAATGGTACAAAGTGCGCCCATTTGCCGATTGGATAAATGAGTTGTAACGTTTGTTCTAAATGAAATTTATTTATATTTCAAGTATTTATTATACTATGACTAAATAATAAAGCGTTTTTTTAAATCGATTATTCTCTGTTATTGTTTAATAATAATGGACAGTTAGTTTGGAGGCAGGTTCAATTTTGACATTGTTATCGAAACATATTTTCAACAACATACGCCACACGAATTATAAATACATATTAAAAACGAACCATCACAGTTTTCTAAGGCACAGGTTTTCGGAAATACAATAAATTACATACAAACAAATTTTGGCACCATCTCTTAGGAAAGCTCTATTATTAATGAATGAAAAAAAAAAAGAGAATCATCATGTGCAGATGACAAAAGGCAGTACAACAATGAAAACAAAGGAACATTACAATACACCAGTCTAACTTGCTCTAACAGTAAGGAAAAACAAAATAGAAAGAGCTGCAATTGTTTTGTTTAAATAATAAATAATACGATAATCAACGTCAATGATAGAATAATTGCATTATAGGAACATTATATTCTTTATTAATTACTATAACTACCTTATCCGTTTAATTAATGAGTATTTATTGGCAAACAAAATTCAACTGGATCACACAAGTTCCATTTCGGATTTTTGCCTAAACATTACCTATTCTTGTCGTCGCCTTTCCGTAATAACAGTTCGTCGCTATATTTGAGGAAGATATTTTGCGTATCGTTCAAAGATCCGAAAATGGCTGCTTTGGTCCCTATGCACATGTCCCTTTGGAACTTTCCCAGGCCGCTGTCGCATCCCACGGGATGATACCAGTGCACCAGTTCCGGATCGATGCATCTCACTATTTTTAAGGTCGATTTAACAGCCTCGTCGAAGAAAGTTACATCCTCCATTCCCCATCCGACGATAGAAGTCTTAAAACCCCCCAAATTTATAAAATCCGATTTGAACAGGCTTACGATACCGAACCCGAATTGTCTCCAGAATCCGTGTCTTTCGTTCACGATGTTCGCGGGGTAATCCAAGTATTGGGACACGTCGTTCTGGAACTGGGTTATCACAGGACTGTAGAGACTATAAACAATTGGAAAATAAACGCTCTTTGACTTCACGGTGTTAAGGCGCACCCTGTTCAGCACGGATTTGGTGAACACCATATCGACGTCAATAAAAAGCAATATACTATCGTCATCCCTCACACTAGTCACCCCCGTTTGCAGTGCGTGACCGCGGGAAAACGTCTCTTCGATCACTGTAAAGTTAATGTTGGAATTTACGTACTTTTGTCTGAATTTGTGAATGAGGTTTATTGTGTTCTGATAGTCCTCTAATGTCGTTTCGGTTTTGTGAAGCACAACCTGCAGTTGTGTGTTTTCGTCTTCGGAAAGACACACTCGATCGTAGATCATCATGAATCTCCGGAACGTTTCGAAGCGGCCGCTCAGAGGGAGGATGAAGGTGACTTTGGTTTTCGAAACGTCATTGTCGTTTGTGAACAGGATGGGGATGTTGTTTTTGAACTTGGCCAAGACTGTGTTGAGAGGCTGAAGCTCTGGCAGGAAGGGGGTTGAGGGCTGAGTGTAGTTCGTCTCTCGAATGTAGATTCCTGAGATTGGAAGCGTGGAGATTAGTCTTCTTCTAGTTTTAGTGTAAATTATTGAATTTGGTCAAGTGACAGTGGACTCTGTGTTACGTAATTTTGTATAATTATGATTTATATTATTATCGGATTACAAATAGAACCTTGACAAAGATATAGATATATACCGGGAATTAGATATTGATTTATGATTTACTGTCAGTAAAAATCGACAGATATAATTTAGATAATAATAATTTCATTAATAATTTTAATTTCGTTACGATCTATGCAGGTATTCTGTCGTTCTGTGTGTTATAGAAACCCTATTTCGTTCAACAGATTTTGCTTAATCTCTTGACGCAAGCTTGATTAAAGGTAATGAACGAGATAGATAGATTAATTATAAATGACATTCCTGGAAGGTAATGTTCACTTACGATCAAATAAAAATTATCACCTGTAAATGATTGTTGTAAGTATGCGTGTTTTCTGACGGGGACCGTCATTTTATGGCCTCGATATTTTTTATAGGTGAGCGACATGTCGAGTATGTAATCGGCGCCATGTAAAACGTTTAATCTACAGTAGGCGTACAATATTTCTTTGAAATCTATAACTCTTCCCCGTTGTTTCGAAAAACGGTTTATATGCTCCATCACCTGCAAGAAATACTTTTAGAACGTTCTTCCTTTTTTTTGATGTTGTATCTACCTCTCTCACAACATCTTGAAACCCTTCTTTCAGAGACGATCCAATTCTGCGCCTCGGATTAATGTCCTTGTAGGAGTACAGAGATTTTGAAATAAATTCCCAATCAAGAACGTTATCTACATTAGCTGGCTGGTACCTGGTAAATCCCACTGGAACACCTATGTATGTTTGAAGTAAAAATTACATTCGTGTTATAAGTGGGTATCAGCCTACATTAAAAGATACAATGCATGGTATCTTTCTTGTATGTATCTAATCAATTTATACTTGTTCCCATTCGTACTGGTTTACTGCGAAAATGGGCTGGTTGCAGCGAGAGCCAAGTGAATAATTTTATTTATTAGGTAACATAGGCACGAACAAACGCAATTTAAGTTATTATTATCTAATTAGTCAGAAAGGTGCAATTCATTTTCTTATCTTATCATTCACTACAGAATGTATTTTACTTTTTTATTTTTCTACACTCTAAAAGCTTCCAACTATTAACTGTGTTTAATCATCAGTAAATATTTTAAATTAAAAAAAAAAACGATCCCATTTCAATAAAGATAATGGTAGGTAAAAATTTTTTGATCTTCAAGTGTTCCCAATGTAGTTTTGTTTTGTTATGCGTATGTGTCTGGTCTGGATATTGTGGAGAGTATTATTAGACAGACAGACAGAGACTCGTCCACACTCTACTATGTTGTCTAAGGTGAAAAAATATCGGAACCAGTTCTTCTCTCTACAGCATCACTAAACACATACATAGATACATGCATTCAAGTATAGTATATAGACATGTAGCCAACCTAGTAGTTCTGGATCTCCGAGATAACCCTTTGAACCAGGCGGTGAAGGATATAGTGGCACGTCGTCCGCTATTTCGGCGCTGTGCAGTTGACTCAGGTTTAAACCTAAAAAGGACATCGAGCTGGCTATGTCCCTGTGCAGTTCGACGCTCTCCTGTCTCAATTCGTGGATTTCTAAGCCCTGAAAATTGTGAGGAAGTTTGATTTTTAACCCATGAATAGAAACAGAAATAACGATGTCCAAATTTAACTTTTCCGCTAATGCTATAGCCGTTCTGAACTAAAACAAAAGAGTTACGTACACCTAACAGAAAGACAAACGAATGACAATGGAGTCCATTGAAGCAAAAGTCTCTGTTGCATTATGGTTAAGTTTTTTTTTCAATTCTTTCTCATGTCGCCTGCACTTGACGAGAAACAGACCGTTTTTTGTGATATGGTTTAGAAATTCGAAACGAATTCTGTCTAGTCGATCGGATTACCGTATGTCTACATTGGCGTCGAAGGACGAAGAACAAGCCATTCTAAAGTTAAAATGATCTCTATTTGTTATCATTTACTTTATCACGTAATAAACTCTATTCGAGAATATATTTTTGGAGTATGTCGGATCGTAATTAATTCTCCGATGATTTTGTTTATACACAAAAAAGAATAATGAAAAGATCGGATTGGGCAAAAACTGGGACGGAACCCGGACCTCGATGAAACTTTTGACTCTGTAAAAATAATCAGACTCTTCAATAGTTCGAGGAAACGTTGCAGTGAAAGTATACGTCGAATAAATAAACTTAACCTAAATTAAATGAGTGCATCTCTATCTCCTTCTGGGTTTTTGCATACACAAATAATTTAAAAGTAATCTGAGAGACTGTATGTACACTCGTACACATCGCATGTACCTGTAACGCTTGATTACACGTTGTATAACACTGTGTCGTACAAAGTTTTAATTGCAAGCGGTATCTTTCTAGTGATATCGTAAAATTATCTTGCGGTTTACACATTGGCGCGCTAATAAAACAAAATTTTTGCATGTAGTAGGGCAATAGCCGAAACGGCAGCGGCTCGTTTCTGCTCATTTATCATTTTGTAGAAAGTTTAAATTATACCTTAACATACTTATGGAGACGACGCATGAACGGCGCCTTCTTCACCGGGTGCATCGTTATCGCCTGATGAACCTCCTTGTGGTTCAAATTCCCGGAGAATGCCGAATTTCCACTCTGGTTGTGATAAAATATCACTTGCATCTGCAAACAAGCAAACAACACTTTTTTGACATTCCACTCGGTAAATGCTCTCCGTGTTAGAGATAAACTTGATAAGGATGAACAGTTGTACAGTTGCGACTATGGATTTGATGGAACTGAGATAAAATGGACTGGAATTTATAGGGAATAGAATGAAAATCGGATGAGTTAGTAACCGAAGAGTGAAACGTAAACGGCGGAGTACCGCAAGGAAGTACCTTAGGCCCATTATTGTTCATATTGTACATTAACGATATCGGTGAGCTCAATCTGGTACCTAAGAGGACTCCAGATTGGTTTTCTTTAATGGCAAAAAATGCAGCTTTAGAGAAGGTTAGAAATGAAGAGGTATTAGAAATAACAGGAGAACAGAGGAAGGACTCTATGGAAGTCAGGCAGAGACATATTAGAGGCAGAAACGGGAGGGGTGGAGGTAGACCTAGACTAGATTACTGTTCGCAAATAGTTAAATGATGATGATGATGATGATGACATTTAAAAATAAAAATTCCTTTGGAATTTCCCTAAATTTTCCAATTAGGGCTTTCCCTACCGGGTCCCAGATGGGGAAGGCGTTACATTTCCAATAGGGAACCGGTTGGGTATCCCATTTGGGACCCCATTTCAATTTGGGAAAACCCAGTCGGGACCCAACCGATTCCCAAAAATAAATTCTACTCGGGGAAGTGCGTGTCCAACCAGTCTTAGGACTGACGACCTTATGATGATGATAGATGCCTTTTAGATAATAGTGTAGACGAAATACACTTGGTAGAACATGCTAAACGAATTTTTGATTAGCTATTATCATTTAAATAAAATATGGGATGTCCTTTTTCCGCGGCTTCACGCTTTTAATAAAACGATGATTTTGCATTAAAAAAACGTCTGGTGGAAACAATTTAGCTGTTATCGCCATTACGCGATAACGCTTATTACTCTGTATTTGCATATATTATTAGGAAGAGCCATTTCATTCTGCTAACAACTTGAATCTGTCGTATCGCAACTGACCCAGCCGAGATGGTTCCTTAATATTCGATAATTGCATCTCGAGAGTTATTTTAAAATTTCAATTGTACATCCTCGATGTATACCGGGCGATTTGTGAAAAACAGTCGATTCTAGCGTGTATCTACCTAACATTAACAAGGTATCAGATTGTCGATAAATTACAGGGTTTGTCCGGAAAGTAATAGGACTGATTTCCTTCTGCAGCCGCCCTATAGCCCAGATGTGCCCCCCCCCCGGACTTTTTTTTATTTGCTCGCCTGAAAAGGCCGATCAAAGGCAAGCATTTTGAGACGACAAAGAGGATCCAAGCAGCATGCACCGCGGCCCTTAATGCCTTCCGTGGCGCCTTCAATGCTTGGAAATCGCGCTGGCAGCGCTGCATCGACGCAGAAGGAGCCTATTTTGAAAGTTTTTAAAGAATTGTAACGATTGGCTCAATAAATTTTTTTAAATCGACTCAGTCCTATTACTTTCCGGACAAACCCTGTACCAACGAAAACATTTAAAATTCATGGGAGTAGGTACTTGATTGAGCCATCGTCGCTATTTGATTCCTTCTTCCAGCAGGAATACAAGTAGATTTAATTTTTCATCTTCTGAATGAAATATATTGTTTGGTTTGGTGGTAGGAGTATTATTTACGTTGACAATGAAGGATATTGGCAATTACAGACTGCTCGAATAAGTAAAAAACTGTACTTCACGTGTTTCAATATACAAGGATCGTGCAAGACGTTTAAGTACTTAATTAAAAAAGGCATCTTGCCTGACTCACTCGCCTCATAAGACCAGGTACAAGAAATCCCAGCGAAACGTCTAACACACCTTCCGAGCTCCACGTCCTCATGGCTGGTGTACAGTTTTCCCAAACACTCTTCGACATGAGGTACCATCAGTCGTAGTGTTTCTCGGCTCATAATGACCCCGGGGCCGCCCATGCAAAAGTTCTGGTCGTCTTCCAAAGACAAAAGACCAAATTCCTCGCTGTTGCCTCGTCCAGTCTGCCCTATAAACCATGGCTTTCGGCTGTCCACCGAACGTAGAAACGTCTCCAACTTGTTCGTCTTTACATAGACGTCATCATCTGCTCGAAAGAACCACTCGTAACTGAAAAGAAATACCATGATAGGTACCAAGACGAACAAAAAATTAAAGAAGGCTTCAACTGCATGTATGTACATCGATTCGAGAAGCAATTAATTGGAAATTAATTAATCAATTGCATACAAGTGTATGAAGGTAATTACAATTCTACCAGATGTATAAAGACTTGTGTGCCAGTCTCTATCTATAAATAGCGTCGGTTTAAAGATGTGTGGGTTTGTCGAACCGGTGCTGTGTATGAATGCGATTTTATTCGATACTATTGAAGATTTATAGTGCATGCGTGTGTATACGGAACGACAGACTATATATTCAAATGTACAATATTTTCCTACGGAGAATGAAAACCAATTTAATCACTTAATTCAATCCGTTCAGAGACAGACAGACTACTTGTCTATCATGCAACGATCATGTTACTAAATAAGAAGCTTGGCAAGCACTTTATACGTTAAAGGTTTTTGTACCTATGCTATGCGCTCTTACAATGACTTACGCAGAGTTAAAAAAAAAGCGATTTTGTATTGTACAATTTTTTAGAAGTAATTCTCGAACTGACAGACATTATGTGCCATGAATATCTTAATAGGTGTTTGTGAAATTCTATGTAGTAAAGGTTTTCTGTAAAGATTGTTTGTTTTTAGAATTAACAATTACGTATTTATTATGTTTCGTAATATTTTAGCACATGAAACCTAACAAGCCATATACAACTACAATGGTACGACACGTAGCTCAACGATAGTCAATAAATGTTAGCAGAATTTTCTCTCGGTGTCATCAAAAAGGGCTTTTTTATCTCAAACATTTCGAGAGATTGAGATCACATTTTCGCGGTTTTAATTTTAGTTTCTTTCGTATAATTCGGAGAAACCTTATGGGCGTTGTCGCTCTATTTCTTGTACAACCCTGGTATTTAAGACTGGATTTTTCAGTCTCAGACAAATGGGGCAAAAAACGCGGACCCAAGGAACTACTAATGGGGCGATCCAGCCAGCAGTTAATCATCAAGTCGCTCACTTAAGCCAATGATGTGTTCTATTTCCATAGACCAATGTAAAAAGGCGCCTTTCAGAAATTAAAAGCCATTGTTAGTGCACACTTCAATTATAATGTACTCCATGAAATAAATTAGCAAAAAAAAAGAACAAGCAATAGAGTTTCTTTAATAACAGACATAAAGAACGTCTACACGTGAACGAAACTATGTATTTATCTCTTTACGGATTTAGCTGGGTTTTATTACATTTATTGATACGATAACATAAAATAAAAGTTAGGTATATTTTACAACACCTTGATCAACACTTTAATGACAAAACAGAAAATTTTATTTAGATAATTGTAGATTAGTCAGAACTATACCTTTATTAATTAGATAGAAAAGTTAAATTTTGTTTGTATAGTAGTTTTGAATACCTAGAATGTCTTGTATAGTACTTTTTCTATTTCTATTTGGTATATCTATTTCTATATGTTAGAGGTACCTGCTGGTTAGGGTTGGGTCAAAGAACTTGTAACATTATAATAGGAACCAGGAAGTGATTTTATTCGTCAATAGACAACGGGTCTACATTAGACATAGTCAAAATTGTCTTGTATTTAATTTTAATTTTGAAATGTTCGAAATTTATCGAGAATAGTAATAGTTGCAGTATGCGTGAGTCATTACAGAAATTTCAGTATTGTTATGAAACCTTTGGCACCTCTGCATGCTCAAGTTGATTAGGTAATTAATTAAACGACGTCTTGTCGTTAGACAAAAGTGGGGTTTATTATATGCAAATTGTTAATGAACAAGTGAAAGTTGCATGCAAACACGTTAATAAGCTGTCTGGTTTCTTAAATCTAATTGTAATAAACTTGAATAATAATAGGCCCAAAAATAGATCAAATTTTCAGTATCATATAATCAGACTAGCCGCGGGCGCCTTTCTTCATGTGCGCCGTATTTGTAAATGTGTGTGTCGTACCTGCGAAAGCAGTTAAACAGTTTAAAGAAAAAACAAACCATCCGGATGTTTCCAGAGAGTTCCAGAAAGTAAACAAAAGAGTATTTAAAGGAAGAGACAATCGCCGAGAAGGTAGAAATAAATTGAACGTGATAGCAGTGAATTAAATAGCGCAGTGAATAATGATATAACAACAGTAGCGTAAATAAGTAGAATAATTCATAACCTAAGTTCAGTAATAATTTAATAGTGTTTTTAAGTTCTTTAATAATTAGTGTAAATAAATTGTATTTTTAATAGTCAGTTTTAGAAGTTAATTTTGTTAAACCCACGAACATTACAAACTAGTGCACCTTCTTAGAATGTTTCAGACCAAATTACGTAATGAAAATTACTATTGTACATNTTAGTAATAATTTAATAGTGTTTTTAAGTTCTTTAATAATTAGTGTAAATAAATAGTATTTGTCGTTATCAGTCTTAGAAATTAATTTTGTTAAACCCATGAACATTAAAATAGGCAGAGATTTACTTATAAGAGTTGAGTTGAGTGGTAGGTAATAAACATTGTAAACTTATTAACAAACGCCAGCGTCAAGGGTTGTTTATACTACTTCCTTTTGTTTACAAGTGCGGATGGTTTAAAAAAAGAGTTACTACCGCCTGCCCGGTGCATCACTTCTTCTTTTTAACTGCCAATAAAACATGTGTTACTTACTAAAAAAAAACACTCAAACATGCCGTCGAAGGACTATCGTGGGAGGAAGTTTGTGTAAAGTTATGCGATTGTTAATAGTCTAAAGGTTGGTTAAATTTATATCCATGATCCGACAGGAAAATATGAAACAAATAGTTTGTCGAGTTCAGGAAACAAACCGCAGGGTAAATTCAACGAAATGTCTTATCATATCACAAATACATGGTAAAACTCAGTGTTATTTTATTTATTTATGTCTTGCGTTAACGGCATGTTTTATAGGTTTTCCTGTTAGAGAGAAGGCAGAGGTCTTTTGACATTAATTTCGTAACAAAATCTATACGTTTATATATTACAGTCCTTTATGTATCTTATCGCTTTCGTTCGTATCAAACAAAATTTTTATTGCTAAACAGCGTAAAGTTTATTGTATTGGTTTCACTGGGCACCTTTTGTTTTACGTTAGTGCGAAGTTTAGTTGTAATCGCGGCATATAGGTAATAATAATATTCTTTTTTTTGAGAAAGTTAAATTACGTTATGCTAAGCTTTGTACCGCGGGTACATACATGCAAATTAAAAATCATCTTTGACCCATCGCAAAGGTCAGCGAGAAATTAAATAACACAAGCGTTTGGTTACGCAAATTTTTAATTAATTCGTTGCTAAAAATAAATCGCAAAAAACAACATTTGTAAAGTATGTACCTACTATAAAATTAAGTAGAAGCATGCAGAATGTTTGTTTAGCTTGAAAATATTCAATTTGACATAAATAATCTTATGAACGCTTAACGTTATCTACCAGGTAAGAAAACCCATTGACTGTTTACCCATTATTTTACTATGATTTCTTACCTGGAAGGTGATGTTGTCCCTGAAATCTGAAAAGATCGTATTTTCGGTAAACCCTCCCTGCAGTATGCAGTACATTCTTCCCTTAAAGATACCTACACTATTGTTAGCATTTTGAAAAAAAAAGAGATACCTGTCAATGTAGTTATCATGCATGTATTTGAGCATCATGAACGATTTAGCTTGTGGGGGGTATCGATCATCGACTCCTGGCAGGGATACTAAAGGAATGGAGTAACTTGAAGAATTCTCGGAGCTGAAAAACATAATCTTCCCTGGCACCCGACTTGCCCACGTTTCGTACACAGTCTTCGCTCTTGTTTCTAAATATTGTTCGGCCGTCATCACGCCCACAAACAGGAGACCGTTGTTTGAAGAAGATTCCTTCCATGCGGCCATGTCTTCTCGAAAATCTAGCGTTTTGTCACAAGAAGATCGACTTTGAAGATACACGTTCACAAAAATTCCGAAAATTAAACCGATTAAGAACTGCAAAAACTTGCGTCTTCTAGCCATACTATTAACTCACGATTAGTTCTTGTTAAGCGACAACACAGTCCCATTGTTCATCACACTAATCCTGAATGTCTATCGCTGTCGGATCACGCTATCACTTGTTTCTGTGTAACTTAGGTCTTGGTCGCATCATATTCCGATACCTCAACTGGGTTCAATTTGGTGTGGACATTAAAACCAAACAGCGTTATCGACCGTTTTAATGAGTCCTCCACCTCATCATTCCTTATCTTATCGGGTCCCTTTGAGGATGCTGGAAAGTAGAAATTATATTTCAATATTGACAGTTTAACGATGGCTTTAGCGTAGATAATGATTGTTATCTGTACTTCAAATACTTGATAGAAAGGGGACGGCCACCGTAGGTACGGGTCTATTAAAAAAAAAAGATAATACGCCTGTGCCTTTTGATTAAATTTGAAAGATAAAAGTTACTTTAAGAGTAGATTTTGAACTTTAAAAGTTGGAATTGTGTTACCCCGTTTTTTATTCCATTCTTTTAAATAAAACCGCGATGCATTCTCCGAACGGATAGTAATTGCGAGACCAGTTTTTTTAATGACTATAATTCACAAAATTGTATTACGTCAAACGTGTTCACGCTGTTTGTTGAGATATTTGTTTACATTTCCATTTATTTAAAAAAAAATCAAAGTTTGCATATACAATCTAACAATTACATTTAGGTAATAAATTAAATAAACCATTTGTTCTTATCAAGGACGCGATGATGGGCTGCAAATAGGGACCAAGTAAAAGAAGTAGCAAAAAAGTGTACGAATTGCAATGCATTCGAAAAATTTTGTCTTTTGGCAAGTTTTATAAAAATGTAGGCAGTTGTACATATGCAAAATGAGGTACATACCTATTTATCGAAAATCACAATAATATTGGTAGTAAAATCACAAAACTTTCACACGCGCTTCTTTTGAAAAACAGTTCGCCGACTAGTCGAAGAAGTTTTCGACTTTTATTGTTGCGGCCTTCCGGTTTGTGAACGGTATTTTGTCGTAACGTTTCTGGCGAAGATCTAGAAGACACAGACGACTGCCGTGGATGGACAACCGGCTTCCAGTACGAAGAAGAGCCCTCGTTTGCTTCTTTGAACCCGGCACCGACTAGACATCAAGCGGACTGACATAGGCATAGGCCGGAATGATGTTCTACGCTATAACATAACGCTCAACGGAATGATGTGAAGCCAAATGTGCAGCCTGGTTTTCAGGTTAATCGGTAACATACCAACTGCGCCAGTCCATCTGCTTCAATTCACGATAAAATCATTAGTCATTTATTATACATATATGTATTACGGACTGATTAACTTTTTCATTCGATAATCGGGGAGATAAGTGAAATGATTAATTTTTTTTTTATAGAAAAAATATGCACAATAAGTTTTCAGTTTCCAATCGCCAGAAAAGAGTATAATGGTGGGGGTATAATAATTTCCCAAAATTGCGATAAACATGGTAACTGTATTAGCTGTTTGAATTTCGGCTCCTTTGAAAATTAATGAGGATTATCTTAATTACTTATAAATCATAAATTATGCGATATCAATCTTTCTCAATTTTTCATAAAGTTATTGCTATTGTTCGGTAATATTTTGGTAGCCTAATTAACCGCGCGATTATCTCATGAAACGTCCATAATTAACTAAAATGAGTTAGAAGAGGACATTCTGGAATCAAAGGCATGATTTTGATTTAGGTAAAGAAGTCAGCAGTTCACGATTTGCTTCCTGTACTGATACAGAGATGCATTAATCTGTAACAGATTAGAAGTACCGTTTATTATAAGACTTTTGTACCATTGTAATGCAAATTGACTTTCGTCTACCTGCTTTAGAATCGAAGGAATCTGATCTGTATCTAGTAAATTTAATATGCTAACGAAACTGTTGCAAACTTATTTAGAAGACGTTTGGTGACTGGTGAAGCTTTAGATAACAATTAGGAAACCGTGAATCCATCGTGGATCAGTACTTATTAGCATTTGGGAGGACATCGGTTTGATTCCGAGTTCGTCTGCCCTACTTTCAGTTTTTTTGTTTCCTTGAATCATTTAAGTAAATGCTGGAGCAGTAATCACGATTCCTAATAGGAGACTCCAGATGGTCTTCCTCTTTACCTTTCAAAGTAGCCCAGAACTGTTTCCCTACCGACATTAGTAGCTCGTGAAAATGAGACCCATAAGATTTTTTTAACCCATCACAAGAAATCCATAAGGATTCCTTACAGAATTTTGAATTATATGCATTCGGAACTCATTAAACATAAGATTGATCATAAAAGTTTTAAAAGTTACGCTCTGAAATCCAAATAAAGAACTATGAAAGCTGATAGTAGAGTACTCTGCATTTCAAATGAATGGCACCAAGTACCACAAAGAGGTAGACCTTTTTGGAAGAGACGTATTCGTGGAGGAAGGTTCCACAGTAGACTACTCTGCTTGAGAGGTTGCAGATGTACTTTTTCATTCCGTTTTGCTTACTAGATGGCCTACTGCTTGTGGTGTATAATAGCGCACCATCTGTGGAAGAAAAGTTAACTACTAAATGAAAATCAATGCCTGGTTAACCTTACTTTAGCGTAATGTTTTAAATTTAAATTCTACCCCTAATTTGGCTAATATCTTGCTAAGGATGATTCAGTCAGGTTTGCTGATAGTGAGAGGTATTCGTAAGTGTCTTAGGTCCTTGCTTCGTTTAATAGCTATTAATGTTAACAGGGGTTTCTGTGCTGCAAAACAAGTCTATTATTTCATCCCTTTCATCTCTAGGGACAAATTTAACAGCGGTTTCGGTCTCAAATACACAGGTACGCTGTTATGCAGCGAGGAAGGGCTACAGGAAACAACGGGAAGCTAAGAAAGTGAAAAAAGAAAAGGTGAAGATTAGCTTCTCGGAAAAGGTGCGTCTGGAGAAAGAGGCGTAAGTACTCATCCCAATTTGAAGTTCTTTCTCCTTAATTTACAACTTTTCCGAAAGAAAATTGAGGAGCCGTCATGGAATTCTAAAATTCGACGACTCCAAGAAGCCTCTTCCAGTTGATAATGTGTGGGTTCAAATGTTTTATCAGTGGAAGGTTTACTCCTTCAAGGAAGCTGTACAATGCCACAGAGAGACTCATCACCCAGAAATGTACAATAAGCCCCAAGAGAAATTAAATGTAAGGGTAGAACTCAACATGGAAGGTGAAAAAAAGGTACACCTCACCCTTGAGCTTCAAAAGATTTTATTAGCTACATATTAGAGATTTCCAGACTCGTCTTTTGGATGATTTTCATCGGGTGGTTGCAATGCCCCACAAATTCGATATGGGAGAGGAAAGAACCGTTTTAGCCCTTGCCAAGAGTCCAGATATTCAGGCAGTGGCCAGAGATGCAGGGGCGACACTTGTAGGTGGGGTTGAACTGATCAAGGAGATTCAAACGGGATCGATAGCTCTTACGGATTTTCAAACGGTCGTGGCCCATCCCGACATTCTCGTCGACATGGTTTGTCTTAGGGGATTGATGAAAAAGAAGTTCCCAAACCCGAAAAATGGAACGCTAAGTCCCGACTTAGAAAAAGCGATTGATACATATTTGAATGGCTTGAAATATTCGGCTATGAAGAATCAATTTGAAAAGGATTTCGGATTGATCGAAACGTTTATCGGAACAGTACGCCGCTCTTTTATTTATTTCGTATAGGTCTTTAATAAATTAAGTTTTCTTCCAGCTGGACATGGATATTAATCATTTGGAAGAGAATTTCGCTTCCGTCATTAGGGACATACACAAAATGAAACCGAAAAGGGATGGGGAGTTTGTGAGAAGGTTGATATTGTCTCATCGATTTTCGGATTTTTTTCTTTAACGAAAAGCGAACAATTTTATGTTTCAGATGTCTCCTGTGGAGTCCACCGGTGGTGGAACGTTTGAAAGTCGATTACAGCGTCTATTTGGAAAACGATAAAGGTAAGGACGAAGAAACGGACGAAGACGAAGAAGTCGAAAAAGTTGCCGTTCAATAATTTTTATTTTTGATAAATAGTTTTGTTCCTTAATAAAATAATGTCTAATGCGTTTTATTTTTAATGTACCTACATACCTGTTATCCAAAGCCCTCAGCAGGTAAGTGAAAATCTGTAAATGTTAAAAAATTTGGCACGCAGATTTCAAATAGTTCATTATGCCTGATTAAGGATATATATAACGACGATATCGATTTTAAATGCGATATCTACAGGTATCCTTCTTAACTTGAAATCCTTCCGTTAGATCGCGCTTCGATTCAAAAATCAACGCGCTTTTACTCAATAAGAATGGTTCATAAATACATATTTATTTAAAAATCACTATTACATTTTTTAAGACCATTACATTACAAGAGTTTTTAATAATTCGTTTTATTGTAGCTCGTATAGTTTATCAAATAAAATAAACGAACAAGGTGCTTACGAAAATAAAGATACTGTTTCGAGAATGTTAAGCCAAGGCTATATTGCACTAACAGGTGTAATATTTTAGCACCAATGAAACTGAAAAGGTACAAAAAATACCAACAACAACAACCCTATTTGCTCATTTTTATTGTTATTGATTCGGTGCAATCGATTGATAAATATCATCGCGTTTTACGCCTCTTGGAAACTGTTTCAAATTAAAGAAATTAAAAAAAAATAAAATAAAAGCTGTAGAGAAAATAATATATAAATATACTTCTATTTGTCTTTATAATATGTATAAATCTACTTTAAACAAAAATTGTACAACATAATATACAGTAAACGAATGACTAGTACTTTTTTCCATTTGCAAAAATAAGAACAATTTTTCGCAATCGCTATAAGTATTCTATTTACACTGACCCAGCTGAGACGTTGTCTTCTACTAATAATAAAAATAAGTTCCATACGTAACAAAGAACGACAAGGAAAACATATTTTGCATGTCCGTCTCCCCTTTTTCCAAATCTACAATGAGAATGTTATTAATAAGTAATCGTTTTGTGACCAGACCAGCTTCAATCATCCCCGTACAATCTTGAAGACAAGCGACATAAAGGAAGATACGTTTCATTTTTATATCATTATTACGTAATTGTGTTCAAAGTATTTGTGTGCTTCTATGTATATTGATAATTCATACGTATGTATACCATTTACATGTATGTGTTCATTTAGGTTCACCGCTGGAAGGCAGCTGAAGAGAAACATGTCCCATTATCACAGGACCATCACTACCCTACTGGAGTTATGATGGCTGTGATGAGAAGAGTGGTGGTTGTTTTCGGCGGCTTGAGCAACTATTTCCGCCTTGTTGTCCCCATTCCAGCTTGACATGTCCGGATTCCCAATGTCCGCCAATCCTTTCAACGATTCGCAAGCGTTATTCGATGATGTGGTCCCATAATGGTCAGTGGTGGGCGATTTGGTCGCCGTAGAACACTGAACATGATGGGACCCCCACATTAAAACCGTCTGCCGTGGCATTTCTTGCATAACAGGAGACGGGTAGTGTGTGCTAGTGACAATTTGTTGTTGACCCTTACCGCCCCCTTGCATGATCGACGGACTTTCCGGTTGATCCGTCTTTATCTCCTCGATCTTCGGGGTTACTAAGGTGCTACCCACCGGCGACGGCGTGTGATGGTTCGACGGTACGTTATCCATCGGAACGTTCTGCTTGATGGACTTGACGCACACTTTGGAAGTCTGATCGGGAACTTGCGTGGCCATCACCTGGACCGGCTGTATGATTCCGGAAGATGGACTGACCGAATACGGCCAGGAGACATCGAGGCATTTGTTGGGATTCGTCACGACGAAGCTCCTGGAAGTGTCCACGTACGTGGGGTACTTTGCCGTCTGGGTGGTGTCCACCACCTGTTGACAAGAGTACAACTTGTCCTCTGTGGGCATCACAGTCGCCGTCCGATAAGACGAGTGATGACTGGCGGTGGTCGACGACGGATCGTACGTTGGTACTCCTGCTGTCCGAGCCGTTACGTCCAAGAATCCGTTGCTCATGTATGGGCTGGAGGCTGGCGAGTGATGGTACTCGGAGTAGTAAGTGCTCAACGGTCGATACTGATGGAATAGATTCTCCGTTGGAAGGTACCGGTTGTCTAGGGTTGCAGGAGAGGGATAGAGTGTGTGTTGGAAGTTTGAGTGGCCCATGTACGTTGATAGCGTGTGATCTGGGGCGGGAGGCGCGTACGGGGTTGTGTACATGTTGTACGCACAACCCTCCGTCGGAATGTAGTCTATCGTAGGCATGGGACTGACCACTGAGTTCGACACTGACACTGTAACCGGCGGTGTCACTTGTCCGTTGCTCGAATGCACCGACACCTTACGTTTAGTTCGACATGTCGAGAGAAAGTCCCGAAGTTGCGTCTTGTATCTTCGGTTCATTCGGGTTGGAGTGGTCGAAACGTTGTGCTGATTCACCGACGATGTCGACAGGAGCTGATCCGAATCACTGAAGTAACTGTTCGACAGTCCCGCGTCCAAATAGCTCACTTTGAAATCCATTGTTCGCTTGCCCAGAAGATCCCTCCCTTCTTCTTCCCTAAACACGAAAAAAAAAAAACGTATCATGACCTATAGAAATTATTACGTTTTTGGAAAACATGACTCCCAAGTTTCAAGAATCGAATTATTAATCACTTATAAACTCGACATTGTTTCTTACATGAGAGGCCTGTGTGTGCTAATAATGAAATCGGGCTTTGAATTTTTGTAAACCAATCGTGAACTCGTTTGTAACCATTGCCACTGTCCGTCTTTCGTTTGGAATCTGTAAGCTATCATCCCTGAAGCGCCCGTTTTTAGTACTGCAAAGAAAAATATCAAGACTTGGTTACCAATCAATAAATCATCTTACATTCCTGATGCGCGCTTGCGACATAGGCTAAATCGTCGTAATGAACCAGGTCATATCCGCCCATGTTGGCCAATTCAGCATCGGAATAGCCCAGCAGCATCTTGCCCCTAAAATGAGATATTGATCAAGAAGAAGGGTGCTAGAATAAATGTAAATTACCTTTGGTCCATGGAAACGAGAGTCAAATCCAGCTTATGTTTGCTTTTGAACATCACCTCCTTCTGGGGTATCTCCAGTAGGGAAGGGGGTCCGAATGGAGTGCAAATTGCAAAGAGCGCTAGGGGAGGCTCGTCAGTTTTACGATTCTGCCCATGGAGCACTTTAATTCTCCCTCTTATATCTAGTCTCTAAAACACACAATATAGTTTTTACGGTGACCTTCATGGGACACGGTACAGGACGCTTAGCGTTGGTAGTTTTTACGTTACCAGAAAACCGGAAGTATTGTCAAGAAGGCACCGAAAGCGAACAGTAAAGCTGCGCTCTAACAGATGACCGTTCTCTGGAAGCAGGACATCTTGAAGTCCGATATTGGAAGATTCGGGAGGCAGAAACGAGTTCCACATTAGTTGCCTTTGAAGTTCCTCCCTGTCCTCCGAATGGACCAACTCGTACACCGACTGATGAACTATATCTGACTAAAATAAGTTTAGATTTAATATGTGTTAGAATTACATTTTGAAAGGGTAAAATACCTGATGAAATCCCAAGTACCCTTCGATGCTGTGCGTGGCGAAAAATACCTCACCCTCGCAAGTTAATATCATTAGAAAACCGTTCAATGCCTGAAAAGATGCCAGTCAATGATAATATACAAAATAACGACTGTTTTGCAATGATCGAAATCGTATGATTGAAATATAATAGTAATATAATTGTCAGTTGTGCAAACACTAGTTTATTATTAGTTTTTTGTTGATGATGATAATAATAATGGATAGATAGATACCTAGTTGAAATAATACGTTTTTAAGCGTGTCGAGTTACGAAAGTATACGTACAATGGGTATACAGTTTGGAGTATATTTGAAATGTATCCATACATATATGTATCTGTATGCCCTGGGTTAATTAAAAGCATACGTAATTATTTATAAAGGACAAGCCGCCTGTGTTTGCGATAGATGAGCGGTGCGCTGTGAGAAAAATTCTAGGCCGAATTGTACGAACTATAATTATCCAATTATTACAAAAAACAAGTTCCCGACTTTGGCTTCAGGAGAATGTCATGTTTGGACAGCGTAATTGTAGCTATTGCTGACAACGAGAACTTTAAAGTGAAAGTTTTTTCTGGCTATTCACAACATCCCAAAAAACAAAAAAAAAACACAGAAAACGAAAAGAAGAAAAATGTGAGGGGGGAGATTCTGAACGACGAAACATTTGGAACAAACGAAAAATTCGTACGTACGCTTGTTTCAACCCTTGTACATAGAGAATATTGGGAAGGTTGCGATTACGAAATAATCAGTAAAATACTTTCGCCTGTACTACGTAGAGATGGGAACAAATCATTATGACAACTTTTTATTTTATCGATATTTATTTACGGGATTCCTTCCCTATAAAAATCTTCTCACCTGAAGAAACATTTCGCCATCCAGAGGAGTATGATCGTAGGCCGTCATATCCCTGGGTCGGTGGATTCCGCCTCCTTCGTCCTTGTCTTTGTGCATGACCACTGAAACAAAATTAATTATGACAGCCCGCTGATTTAGATTCGCAGTAAAAGAAGAGACACTGAAACGAAATGCAGGATTGCCGATGACGTAGAAATTATGCGTCAATTACGGCTTTGATTAAGATTTCATTGCATCATACGGAGGATTATTACAATCGTGGCGGAAAATCTCCTGATGTTCGTTTTAACGATTCCTGTGATTCACGACATCTCTCAAGCCTTATGCCAACCATAAACCAACTCGTAAAATATTTCAGCCTCTGTCGTAAAACGGGGAGGATGGTGCCAGCACACCACGATAGTAAATCATATAAATGATATGGTATCGTTAACCAATGAATTACCTTACAAAAAAGGCCGTCGTCTAAAAAATTTTCCCGGAAATATTTTTAAAATGTCATGACTTATTTTGGACTGTTTCGATTAAAGACCAAGGGATGAAATTAACAATCCCAACGTATTTTATATGTCAGAAAACCGTCGAGGTCATTCTCGAAACCGCCAAAAGGCCTCTACCGTGTTTCATAAATCTGTCAATATGCACTTTGATGCCCCGTTAATGGTTCATTATGAGTCCGCCAAAAAAAAAAAAAAGAAAGAAACGAGTTCTCGTCGTTCATTTATCACGTGAATAAAGGGGTGCTAATTGAGCCTTCACGTGGGCAAACATTTAACTAGGCATTAAGGCTAGATGTGTGTCTTTAGGCTATTATTGCATCGCGTTGTCGTAGTGCAAGTCATCGTGATGAGTCTCCCGCGGGTGTTCGTGTTTGACTTGTCTATTAAACAAGCAGATAATGGATGAATTGATCGGACAGGTGCCCTAAACCGTTTGTTGCTCTGTCACTTGTATTATTGACCTACGTCCAATTATATTGTTATTGACTCTAGACAAAGTGGTGGTGCTGAACAGGGGTGAAAAACTACCTTTCCTATAAAAATATGTTGCTTCAGCTACTGATTTTGCCTAAATTTTTACAATTTCTGAACCCCTTTAGCTAAAATGTCTTAACTAAGGCAACGACATTACATTTGTAACTACGCATGAAAACAAAATCACACGTGACGAAACAGTTGAACAAAACAAATGTGAAACCTGCCGAATAAAACATTTGAAGATACAACAATGAAAAGCTATTATGTTTAGTAATAATGTACCTACTATTAGCAATTGTTTCAGTTTTAATACAGAATTCTACGAGACGATAATGATGTTGAATAAAAACTGATGGATTGAAGTGAGAGGGGGGGTTTGGAGGGATATTGAACGGTTGACTGAAATTCAAACAGAAATTAAACAAATAATACGCTTATTAAGAGCAAAGAATAATAATTATTTTAATAGCAGTGTGCAACATAGAAATGTATTCATAATTATACGTAATTTTCTGAAATAACCAAGCGGGTTTGTTGTTGGACTGCACCATGCACATCATACGTATTCCTTTAGTTAAATCGTCATGCAGTTTCCACAGTTCGCTTTCATTTCCAGAAAGCCTTATTAGATATTTGTATGTAATTATTTTAATTTTACCGCACACGTCATACTCCCCGGCCGACAACCGATAAAGCTACAATTCTATAAGAATAAGAAAAGAAGAAGACAAATAGTCCACAATGAACCCTACTGCTCGAATACAAACAAAAGACAGTAGTTCGCCGCGACCTCGAGAGACATTCCCTAAAATTAATGGTAGATATAAAGGGAAAAAGAAAACAAAAACATTGTTAGGTACAATTGTGCCAAGTAATATTTCACCCGCTAGATAACGTTTGTGTCAAGTGGTTGAAAAGTTGGAGTTTATTTAGGAGCCGCAGGCTCATGCGATCGTAGGCGACATTCGGCCTTATCATCGTCCATAATTATTTTTTATCGTGGAAGTGTCGTCCTTTTAATTACCCCTTACAAAGTGCCGATGAAATAAATTTTACTTGGTGACAATATCGACTGCTACCGCTACAGCCCACTTTTCCCCGTGGTAGACATGTTTTAGCTTATTTCTTTAATTTCTCTTTCCTCATTCGATACAACTGGCCTGATGTGAATTCTTCCCCGACATTTAGACTTATGGTATAGTTGGTTAAAATTTTAACGCATGTGTTCCTACGCCTGTCGGATGTTTTATTGCAAATTTGTAGAAAATGCGTGGTGAAGGTCTAGATGATGGCCCCCACCCCCTTCGGGGGTAAGGGTGGGGTGTATCGAAAGAGGAGGTCTCCCCCACCACTGTACCATAAAAGTTCGTGGCGGTCGCACCCCCATAAAAAGTTATGGGGGTTCAAAGTTAATAAATATGCCAATTTTTATACACTTCTAGGCATGTAAATATTTATAAAGTCATTCTTAAACAATATTCAAAGGTAAAACTAATGAAAAATACATAAAAATATTGAGAAAGTTATATAAAACATTATTTAAATATCTTTATCAATAGGGTAGGTTAGGTTAGGTTAGGTTATCGGGTTTTGTTCAAGTGACCACCCTCTTTCGATCCCCCACCTCCACCCGCTTGAAAATATTTTTTTTATTGAATTTTATTTGAATTATAGTGTATGAAAATTGTCAAAATATTCAATTTTCAGCACCCATAACTTTTTATGGGGGTGAGACCGCTGCAAATTTTTTATGGGGTTTTGCTCAGGTGATCAATCCCCCCTACCCCCACCCCTATCAAACCCCCATAACTTTTTATGGGGGTGAGACCGCCACGGACTTTTTATGGTACAGTGGTGGGGGAGACCTCCTCTTTCGATCCCACCCACCCATCACCTAGACATTTACCAAATGCGCTTATTGTAATCGTTTTGCTTAAAATGACGCTATTAGTGTAAGTAAAGTTTACGAAGATGATGTTCCTGTGCAAGTGAGTCCTGAGTTTTATTATATAGTGCACCCCGTGGCTCGTTCTCGAACCATGTTTATTTGATCAATACTTGTACCGCCTGGCAGACTAATCAATATACGAAATGACTACATAATTTACTGTGTGCGACTATGGGGTTTTCTGATTATCTTTTTTATCCGATCCTGCCAAGTCGGCAAAACCTACACCCATAAATAAACAAACTAATGGCCGCAGTACGATCAACTACAACTACACACACATGCCAACTATGAGTATTTATCATGCATAAGTTAAATTGTTTTAATATTCCAAAATACGGCTAGTTCCAATATTATAGAAATCTCCATTCTCCATGCCAAATCTACATATGTGAACCACTATATAAAATAAGAACATGTAGAACTTTCAGTAAAATTTTATGTACAATACAAATGCTAGAAGGTATTTGTGAGAAATACCATCATCATCATTATCATAAGATCGTCTGTCCTAAGACTGGTTGGACACGTACCTCTACTCTTTCCTATCCTGAGCTAATCTTCACATTTCCCTAAAACTAGAACATCTTACAGCCTTAACTATTTGCGAACAGTACTTTAATCTAGGTCTACCTCTACTCCTCTTAGCTCCTGTTTCTGCTTCTAATATGTCTCTGACTAGACCTGAAAAGGTGTCCTACCAACCTATTTCGGCTATTTCTTATTGACTTCCAAAGAGTCCCCTGTTCTCCTATTCTTTCTAAAACCTCTTACTTTCTAACCTCTATCCACGGTATCCTCATCATTCGCTTGTAACACCACATTTCAAACACTTCTAACCTTATCTTTTCTGCCGCGCCCACCGTCTATATTTGGCACCCGTACAGCGCCGCGCTCCAAACATACACTTTAAACTTATACCTAGAATTGTACCTCTTTCACAAAGAGCTTCTACTTGGTACTATGATGCATACACCTACAGAATTGAAGAAATTGAAACTTAATCTTATGAATTTAATGATATTTCTTTTACTGGGGCTGTAACCATGATATGAATCTTTGCAAACAAAGACAAAATTACAATTGGCTACGGTGCTATTTCTCTTGAAGCCAGGAAATAATATTTAATAATCAATACTGATTTTAAAATAGTCATTTATTAAATATGCATTATCCTGTGGACAAAACGACGCTCAATTGTTTTAAAAATATGCAGAAATATTTCGTTCCAGTTGTTGTGGCACCCTGGAGTTGAAGTGGACCATTTTCACCCTATACAAAGGTCAGATTTGTTTAAGTATACGTATAAAAACAAATAGTTTGTTTTATTCTTGCCGCCAATAAATATGTCTAGGTAAAACTAGTCAGTTTAATAAATACCGAATGCGGCGGATCTGGTTTGGAGAACGCCAGATAACAAATGGGCCTAATATATTAACGTATGCTTCCATGGTAATTGGCACTGGGAAGGGACCATGAACACACTCCTAGGTGCCAACCTCAGGTCATAAAGATGTCTCGGGGAGTTCACGTATACCCAACGAAAACCGATTCCAATTAAAAAATATTAATTGAGCGTTTCGATCATAAAAATTATGTTAACAACTTGCTAATCGCATTAGAAATACGTTAAGATAAATATTGGTTGAGGAATGAGGTCCGTTTTAGAGGATTTACATTTCTTTTTGTCGATTTGGAGAATTACAATAACATAAATGGACTTTGTACAGTAACGATCCATTTTACAAGAAATTCCCACCATGATCATGGATAAATAATAAGTGAAGCAGTTGAATTTTCCATTTATTTGTAAATGCGAAATCCAATTGATGGTGGTTATTATTTCTATAATTTTCCATTTATATTCGAATTGGATTGGATTTTTAAATATTCGTGAGTCATCTACCGAAGAACTGATTGAAATCAATACCAATCAATATATATGAGAAAGGTAAAAGAAATGATAAAAACCTTTTCGATGATTCATTTTCTTTTCCTGCATGCATCATTCACCAAAATGGAAAATTGATTTTGTTGGTAGACGATGTTTATTATAGGGTACCTGTATATGTAGGCAAATTAAAGTCGTAAGGGTTGAAAGAAGACGGTGCCACGTGGCATTAGAATCAAAATCTGCCAGTGCAGTGTGACGGTGATTTTACATGCTGGAAAATAT